AAATGATAGTTTAGCTCTGTCATCCTAAAAGTAATAAAAAGCATGCTCATATTACAATTCCATCCCATCCCCAAAATAATCAAACTGAAAGACACAAAGAATTCAAGAAGCACAAAGACAGCACACAAAAGTCAAATAGGGTAGTATAATCCATCCATGGACTTCTTGTCACTCTCTACACTCACTCTTTAGGTGATCCAATTCAGTTCGGTGGATTAAATATCATCTATAAGTTCATGTCTTTCAGCCTTCCATATCTAGTCTAGATCATTCCCTTGAATTCCAGACATATCTAACCAGCTGTTTATTCTCTTCACTCTGATATTTAGTAGACATCTCACAGCTTTCATGCCCCAAACTCGGCTCCTGAGAGAGTTTCCCATAGATCTGTTCCTCTCACAGTTCATTCATTCTATTGTTCATTCCAGTTCAAAATCCTGGAAGTCATCTTTTTTTCTTTTTTGTTTCTTTCAATATTCATATCTCATCTCTTACTAAATCCTGTTGGCTTTACTCTCAAAATATGTCCAGAATCTGACCTCTTGTCCCTACCTCCATTGTCAACACCCATCTCTTGCCTGAAACGTGGTCTTCCAGTTTCTGTCCTTACCCTTTCCTTATTCTCTTCCCCAAAGACACGAGAGTGATCTTGTTCAAACCTAAATCAAATACCTCACCACTGTTGAAAACTCTGCACTGATTTCCTACTGGTGTACCACCTTTTTTTCACTCAGAGTAAAAGCCAAAGCCCTCACAAGGCCCCCAAGTTTCTTTGTGATTTCCCTCTCCCATTACCTCTAGGGCTTCATCTCCGATTCACCTCATGCTAGCTCACTCTGCTCTAATGCATCGCTCTCACTGCAGCTACTGAAGCTGCATGCTCTAACTTGAGGGCATTTATACTGTGCCTGGGGTTCTTTCTCCTCAAGGCCACCTGGTTCCTGCTACTCTTCCTTTTGATCTCCCCTTAAATGTCCCCTTCTGAACGAGACCTTCCCTGGCCACCCTAGCTAAAACTGCAATCCCCACTTCATACTGAAATTTCCTAATCCCCCTCTCTGTTTTAATTTCCTGTCTAGCACTTATTTAGTTATTTTAGTATTCAGCACCCGACTCCCACCGGTATACGCTTCATGAGGGCAGGTATTTTTGTCTGTTTTGTTCTAATAGAGATGGCATGCACATAGTGCCTACCTAATATAGGTAGCCTGCACATAATTGATACACAACAAATATCCGTTAATGAATGCATGACCCATGGAATGATAATAGTAACATGGAAAGATATCTGAGCCAAAAAGGAAATAAAGAAAGAAAAAAAATACTTGTTTAAGAACATCTGGGGAGTATAACTACAATTTACCCATCAAATGGATTAATGGATAGTGAAAATAAACCACTTTGGCCAATTCTTGTTGTTTCACTTTCTCTACCTACCAGTCTCATTGTGAAGATATCTTCAGAGACCTCCTTGTTTTGTATTGGTGAGTTTCTGGAAATCTTGTCACAAGCAAACTGCTTTCACAGCCCCTTGCTCCCAGCTAATACACAAATTAGAATTTAATAGTATCTGAACACAGAGGCTACATTTTTCAATGCCCAGATTTATGTAATAGATATTTAAATTCCTGAAGAGAATAAATACAATCATTGGGGCCATTTACATTTGTAGCTACTTTAACTGAACTGGAAATATGTTTGGAAAAGAGATTGTATATTTAGTGTTGATGTATCTGCCTGTTTCAGTAATTGGCTAAGGATGGGGACAAATAATTAGAAAACGAGACAGTAAGTGTTACATTTAGTTTTTATTTCAACAAGATCACCGGATAGAATTTTTTGACCGTGTTTTATAAAAATCATTTGTTAGATGCAGTAAGTTCAAGTAAACATAAATATCACCTTCCACTTCTATCTCTGAGGCCCAAGTGACAATGATTCAGAAGTGCCATATTCAGAATATAATTCACAGATAATTATGTTCCATATTTGTAAGGAATCTAGTACATAAATCCTTAAATGGAGCAGTTTAACCAACTTTAAAAGAATGAACAGCTGAATTGAATTGTAATGATATAATGTATAATCATAAAAATTGAAAGAGTATAGTCACCTTGTAAATTTTCTCCATTTCATATTTATGCTCTCTCCTCTATTTATTGTGTCATATATCAAATGATTCTGCCTCCTCAGAAACCCATTTTTATAAAACTAGCACCGTGTTACAGCTATGGTAAATGTGGAGTAGGAAGTTAAGGATACATGACCTCGTATATGTTCCAGATGGCCTTATATGATTTCTTTAATCTTTCTAAAATGCAAAAAAGCCCTATGGGGATCACTGAAATGGTGACATTTAAATATTAACTAACCCAAGATTTTCTTGGGTGCAGAAGTCTGGACAAATATGCACATTTAGAAAGCAGTGGAGTCCTAGTTATTTCATAGGCCTTCTGGTAGGAGTCATGGCTAATCTGATGAGTCACCAAACAAAATAAATCACGTTGTACCTTGAACCAGTCCCTCATCCTGAGTGTCAAATTAAGGTGGCTGATATCTCCATGGATCTTAGAAATAGCCATGATTACTGTTGATAAAACTAGATTATTTAAATTGCCACTGAATTGCCCCTGACAATTACTTCGTCGTGATCAGGGGAAATGCTGACTGCATTTCATAAGGTGATGTCTAAGCTATTGCACAATGTGACACATGAAGCATTTTACATTACCTTGTTAAAAAGACATTCATTTCATAAGGTTCTTATTTATACTTTTTAAGATATTCCTCTGTTTGGTGCTAATAACTACCTTGTCTTCTTGGAGTACCACCACAGAATGTTCATATTTACCCCTGTAGCACATATTTTTAGCCTTCCTGAATCTCATCCATGCATATTATTTTATTAGAGAAATAAACATTATCATTAGCTTATTTCACAGAAACATTCAATGCTGTCCTTCCTTCTTATCTATCATAAGAATGCAGATATGTCAAATATTTATAATTTATAAAGCAGTTGCATGTACATGGCAGTCATAGGACAGAAAATAAAGCCAAAGCAAATCTTTTCATGACACCAGTTTTACACAAAAGTGAATATAGAACAAAATTTTATTGAAGGAAGTGCAATGTATTAAGGAACAGAATTTTTAAAGCTATATGCATTTTCATACAAAAATTAATAAACTAAATAAGTTTTGTGTTTGTGTGGCTGACTCAGATTTAGCCACAGACTCTTTGTATTCTATTTCTACACCCATAGGACCTCAAAATATCCTTAGGTAGAAACTGAGACACACTGGATAGATTATGTTATTTTTATTCTTCTAAATGGTCTAACAACTGTGTATGGCAGTCAGGGCAGAAATTTAGCAATCTCATTTTTACAGGGGAGGCAGCTGAGGTTAAAAAGAATTAAATTATTACCATAAAATAATCAATGATTAAGTGCCAGAACTAGTCCCACATCTGTTAGCAAGTCTAAATCTCCTTTCTAATTTCATGTTTGTTTTAATAATAGTTGTGAAGGACAAAAAATCAGAAAGGAAAAAGTAGTTAAGGCATAGACAAGAATAGACTTAAATCACCAAATCAGGAATTAATGTTCTTCCTCAATTCTAATACATATATTTTCTGATTTATATACATTCATTTTAATAAATTTTATCACTAGGGCACTTCTAATATGCCTCAAATGCCAAAGTATGTGGCATGAATCACTCACAGGTACTATCTCTCTCTCTCTCTCTCTCTCTCTCTATCTCTCTCTCTCTCTCTACCTACCTACCTATTTAGTTATCTATGTGGCTACTGTGAGTGAAGTACAAGAATCAAGAGCTAAAGAAAATATTCTGTTATCACAATAATGACTATAATATAATTATTCTCTGCAAGACAGCAGTGGCCTGGTGTGATCTGTATTGGATGCTGCAATATGAAAGTAATGCAGTATATTAGCCAAAGTATCTCAGCAGCATATGCAGCTGTTAATTGACAAAAATAAATTCAGCTGGTACATGAACTCATACCATGAGCCATGTTTTGTATTTCAACAATTTATGTGAAACTGAATGCAGCCCACATGGCATAACAAAACAGTGGTTGTTACAAAAATTGCACTCCCCATTTGCCACTTTATTTGTATACTTAATACTTGAAAGTTTTCATGCTTCATGCAGACAAACTCCTTACTTAAAGAGGAGTCAATAAATAAACCCCTCAAAATTGTTGAGATGTTCAGTTATTTTGTATGTTTACTAAACAGTCAATCCGGTTCAACCCAAATTGAGAGAATTATTTTAAATTTGAGTTTAAATTTGGTATTTCTTAAAATAAAAATTTGTAAAATTGAAATGTTCAAAAACTAGTGTTAATGGATTAGGGATGACTTAAAATGAAACGTATAGTCAGTAAAATCTCTTCATGGAGCATATAGTTCATGTTAGGCAGACTGGGTTATGCTACAGATACTGATTAAAACAGAAGTTTTTTTCCCCAGTATACTAATTTTGACTCTTGCCTGAGAATCAGGAAGACGGTTTCTATAAAAACAAAAAAGGATAAATAACTTTTTATTTTCTCAATTTTTGTCTCACTTTACTAAATAGGTTAACATGTATTCTATCATTTACCTCTCACAGAAAAACTAGTAGATAGGCATTTTTGTCTGCATTTTCCATAAGAGTAAGTTACAGCAGCTGAACAACTAGCCCAAAACCACACATTAGAATTGGTATATGATCCCAGGTCTATGTGAATATTCCAATATCAGTGCCCTTAACCAATGTTTTCTATATTTGTCTCTCAATGAGTACAGGAAACTTTAATAAAGCAATAAAAGTCTGGTTTTTTACTTTCTAAGCATAGACGATCATGAAATTTGACTAGCAGACAAACTAAGGTGACTCTGGCCTCACAGTAGAATTCCCACCTGCTGATATTCACACCCTTGCATAATCCCTCCCCTTGACTGTAGGTGACACCTGTGTGATTTGTGTCTAATAGTATACAAAAGTGATAGGATGCCACTCCTATGATAATATCATATTATATAAATCTTGCTAATTGACTGCTTTAGAGCTTCTCCTTGCTGGTTCAATGAAGTTAGCAACTATGTTGAAAAAGTCCACATGGCAAAAAACTTCTGTTGACCCATAACACCTGAGGGCAGCCTCCAGCTGAAAACTGACAGGCAGAAAAAAGTCAGGATCTTCAGTTCACAGTTACAATGAAATGAATTCTGCAACAACCACATTGAGCTTGAAATCAGACGCGATCCCAGCTAAGCCTCCAGATGAAAATGCAGCTCCATTGAAACCCTGGTGGTACCCCTATGAAAATGAGTTGAGAACCCAGCCAAGTTGTGACTGGAGACTCCTGGCTTACGGACACTAGGAGGTAAGAAATGTGTGTTGTTTTAACGACTAAGTTTATAGAAACTTTTTATGGACTAGAATAAAACTAATATTCTGGATGTGAAACCGGATTGGCAGCAATATTTCAGAAAGTAAAAAGGACAGCTTTATTTCACTTCACCTGAATCTGAATCATATCTGTGTGAATTCTCCTCTCTTGAAATGTATACCCTAGACCTCTGAAATTACCTTAACTGTCTTGACCTTGAGACTTGGAGCAAACACCAAAATGAATAGTGTTCAGAGTGTCATCTTGTAAAGTGTGCAGATAGAAGTTTTTCTTTTTTTTCAAGTTAAAGTATTTTTACTCTGCAAGTGAGAAATCATCTCCTGAGTCATTATTATTCAACATCAAATATGCAATATTTGAATTGAGATTTTGCTAACTCGCCAGGAAAAAACATAACAATATTCTTTTATTTTTCTTGTTTTCCCTTGATTTTCCTGGGTGCCCTTTATAAAAAGTCAAGATATACTCAGGGAAAAGGTACTGAATTTCAGAGGCTTTGGGGTCATGTTGCTTAATTTCAGTAACTATTAAATGTCAGAGAGCCATCGGAAAGGAAGATGAACATGTTTGGTAACGGTATTCTTTTGGTTGCTGTTACCTTTTGAATAATGTTTGGGAGAAATTTAGCCAGATGCATTGAAAAGCACTACAGTGTTTCCAGATATTGTTTGCATAGTATCTATCACCGCCATAACAAATACCACAAACTTAGTACCTTATAACAGCACAAAATTATTCCCCAGTTCTGTAGATTAAAAATCAGTAGGATTGGCTGGTTTCTTTGCTGTGGGTCCCACAAGGCCAAAATCAAAGTGTTATCAGGGCTTTGTTTGTTCTGGATGTTCTTGGGAAGAATACATTTCCCCACTTACTTAAAATCCAATCTGTTGACAGAGTTCAGTTCCCTGGAATTGTGCTACTGAGGCTCCCTCCTGTTACTTTGCTGGCCACTTTGCTGGTACTCCCATTACTTTGCTGGTTACTTTGGATGAAGGTCATTCTATTTCTAAAGGCTGACTACATTCCTTGGCTCATTGCCGTCTTCCTCCATCTTCAAAGCAAGAAACAGTGGCTCAAACTCTTCTCACATGTCAAATTTCTCTGCCTCACGTATCCCCTGCCCTTTCTCTTTTGCTGTATCTCTCACTGTAGGAAGATAAATTTCTCTGTTTTTAAGGGTTCATATTAGATTGAGTATACCTAGATAATCCAGGATAACCTCGCATTCTCAAGTACTATAACCTTAATTATATCTGCAAAATCCCTTTTGCCATATAACCATAATACATTCACAGGTTCTAGGAATCAAGAAGTAGGTATTTTAGGAAGTCAGCATTCTGTCTACCACATTACTCTTTAAATAAAGTTATAATTTAACAACAAACAGTTGTATAGAGCCATAAACATTTATAAGTTGGGGCAAATAAATTTGGTTGTATAATGTGTGTAATTTTGGTTTAGAATTAATTGGATCAGCCTGGAATGGGACACACAATCTTGTTTACACTATGTAAAACGTACAAAGCAGAAAAGCATATAATTTATCATAGCACTTTATCTCTTTCCTATACAAAGACCCATCTGAAAGTTTCTCTGTAGTTACAGAAATTCATGAAACTTTAACTTTATGCTTTTAATAACTAGTTGTTGGACAATGACACATTCTTCTATTTTTCTCTCTTTACCCTGAATGTTTGGCTCACTGACATTTGAAAAATCATAATAAAATTACTTAATACAAAATTTAAAATTCTAAACATTTTAACTGCACCATTCAGAGGTATAAAATACATGCACAACGTTGTGTGCCATCAACACTATCTATTTTTTGTGATCGCAAATAGAAACTATACTCACTGAGCAAAAATTTCCATTTCCCCTCCCCCACCCTGCCCTTGGTAACTTCTATTCTTTCTGTCCCTAAAAATTTTCCTATTCTAGATACCTCATATAAGTAGAAATATGTAATCGTTTTCCTTTATGTTTGAAATATTTCAGTTAGCATAGTGTTTCAACGTCCATCCATGTTGTAGAATGTATCAAAACCTCATTCTTTTTTATTGTTGAATAACATTCCATTATGTGTATATCACATTTTCTTTATTCATCCACCTGTAGATGGACACTGGGATTGCCTCCACCTTTGGCTATTGTGAATAATGCTGTTATAAACATGGGTACACAAATAATTCTTTGAGACTCTGCTTTCAAATCTTTCAGGTATATACTCAAGAGTGGAATTGCTGAGTCATGTAGCAAATTATATTTTTAGAATTTTGAGGAACTGTTTTCCATGGTGGTTACATTATTCAACATTCTTACCAACAATATAGAAGGCTTCCCATTTCTTCATATTCTTCCCAATACTTAAATACTTATTTTCTGCCGAGTTTTTCTGTTTTCTATTTTTTTTTTTTAATAGTAGGTATCCTACTGGATGTGAAGTGGTATCTCATCTCATTGTAGTTTTGATTTGCATTTCCCTAATGATTAGGATCATTAGTGCTGTGGTCTGAATGTCTGTGTCCTCCCAGGCCCCAAATTCATATGTTGAAACTTAATCATCAATGTAGCATTATCGAGAGGTGGGCGTTTGGGAGGTGATTAGGTCATGAGGGATCTACTCTCCTGAATGGGATTAGTGCTCTTATAACAGAGGACTGGGGAAGCTTGTTCGCCCCTTCTGTCATATGAAGACACATAGAAGACATCATCTATGAAGCAGACAGCCATCATTAGATGCTGAATATGGTGGTGTGTTGATCTTTGACTTTTTAGCTTCCAGAACTGTCTGCAATAATTTTCAGTTGTTTATAAATTACCCACTCTAAGGTATTTTGTTATAGCAGTCTGAATGGACTGAGACAATTAATGATTTTGAATACCTTTTAAATTGTTTGTTGGTCATTTGTATGTCTTTTTTAAAGAAATGTCTATTCACATCCTTTCCCCATTTTTAATTGGGTTGGTTTGTTTTGTTTTGGAATTGTATGAGTTATTTAGTCTCAATATTAAACCAATATTAGATATACGATTTGAAAAATTTTTCTATCATTCTATGCATTGTCTTTTTACTCTCTTGACAATAATCTAGGATGCACCAAAGTTTTAAATTTTGAAGAAATTCAATTAATCTATTTTTATTTTTGTTGTTGCCTGTGCTTTTGGTATCATATCTGAAAACTCATTACCAAATCCAAGGTCATGAAGATGATCCCTCTATGTTATTGTCTAAGAAGTTCATGATTTTAGCTATTAAATTCAGGTCTTTGATAAATTTTGAGTTTTCGTTGATTCTGAGGCTTATAGTTCATGCATTCATTTTTCAAGTTTGGATTCGAACAGAAAATGTACTGTTCATATTACTATTATTTTAATGATTTGATAGCAGAAAAGAATTCTTCTTCTTTTTTAAAAAAATGGAAGTCTAAGAAATAAATAGGATGTGATTACTTGATATTGTGTTTTATCTATTTTAATACAGGTAGTAGAGAATGAAGGTTGTAAATATTTTATAAACAATGGCCACCTAATTTCTTCTCATGTGTTTCAAAATGCACACACAGAAATCCAAAGAGCTAAATGTTTTTCTGCTCTGTAAGAAAGTTGTTAAATTTGTATATTTACCATTGTGTAATGAAGAATTAGTCTGGCATCCCCATTTCCGGGGAGGTAACAATTTAACTCTTGGAATTTCTTGAGTGATAGATGTATCTTTGTTATCTGTGATGGACCCCTGATCACATTTTATGTGTATGCTAATGAGGTGATTCATGGTGAGCCCCCAGATTGCTTATGGTAATGAGATTGATTACTCAGGATGGAGACTGGTCATGTCAGAAAAACCACCCATGTAATTAGAGGATTTGGGCTTTGAGCCAAGTGATATCAACCCTTTCCTCTGGGGAAGGTTTTGACATTGAGTTTATCCACATGGCCAATGTTTCAACAATCATATGTATCCATGAAATGTCAACAAAACCTCTGGACACTGAGGCTTGCATGAGCTACCTTGGTTGTCAATATTCTTTGAGCATTGTTTTACTTTGATACTGAGAGAGTAAGACATCCCTTAGGACAATGGCAACTTTGTAAATGGAACTCTTCTTACAAACACTGTTCTACAGATCTCTTCTTTTTTCTGGTTCTCATTTGTATTCTGTTGCTATAATAAAATTGTAATGATATGAGTAGCATTTTCAGTAAGTTATATAAGTCTTTTCTATAAATTGTTGAACCTAAGGGTGGCCATGGCAAACCCTGAGGTAGCTGGTCAGACCTGAGAGTAGCTCTAGAAACCCCAAACTTGTAGCTGATAATTGAAGTTAGGGCAGTTTTGTAGAGAAGTGTGCCTGATATGGTTTGGCTGTGTTCCCACCCAAATCTCATCTTGAATTATGATTCCCACAATGCCCATGTGTCATTGGAGGAACCCAGTGGGAGGTAATTGAATCATGGAGGCAGGTCTTTCCCATGCTGTTCTGGTGATAGTGAATACGTCTCACAAGATCTGACAGTCTTAAAAATGGAACTTTCCCTGCATAAGCTCTCTCTCTCTCTTTATCTGCTGCTATACATGTGAGATATGACTTGTTCCTCCTTGGCTTCCAGCGTGATCATGAGTCTGAGTCCTCCCCACCCATATGGTACTGTAAGTCTATTAAACCTCTTTCTTTTATAAAGTGCCCAGTCTTGAGTATGTCTTCATCAGCATTGTAAGAACAGACTAATACAGTGCTTTTAACCTCCAGTTTGACAAATTCCAGTGCCTATTCAAATACTGTGTAATAAAGGAGATAACTAGTTATCTATATGCTAGAATTGCCCTAGTGCTCCACTTTCCCACCACAAGCAACTTAAATTCTAGCATTAGAATAATAAAATTAAAAATCATATATCTCAGGAGAAGTCTTTTAAAATTCAAATGCACCTGTGATTGGTAACATATCAAACGTTTTTAATCACCCATACAT